TGTTTAGTGATCACAATTGTATGACAATTTCTTTACAAAAGGAAGAGCAATTAGATGTATATAGTAGAGAGTTAAGACTGGATGATCATTCAAGTGAGTTTTATTATTTGTAAACACCTAATTTTGTCTAGGCAAATTTAGGTCATTTGTGAAACTCTTAAAATCCAACCCGATTCAAAGCTAACATCTCTTTAATTTTGACAAGTTTTTAAAATAAAAATTAGGACCAATTTGACCCAAACGTCCTAAGGTCAAACTCAGTTAAACCAAGTCAAATAAAGTCAAATTTGGCCAAAATTGGTGTAGACACTAAATTTGTTCGAGTTTTTTGAGTCGGGTCCTAGTTTTAAATTTTCTATTTTATTAAGTTCACGGGCGCAAGCCCGATTTCTTTTTTAGGCTTAGACCCTTTTTTATTTTGTTATTTATATTAGAATACAATAATATAATAAATAATTAATTAGTTAAACATTAATAAAATAATTAATAAAAAAAAAGATAAAAGAAGCAAAAAAAACAAAGGGGTAAGGGGCTAGTGTCAGTGGTGTCGTGCCTCCTACAGCCCTTGACTCCAGAGCTACCTTGAACCCTCTGAGTACTGGCCACCAAAACTATTTACCCTACCCTGAACCACTCCTCTATACACCTATCTACCCGAAAGTGGAGAGGGCTATGACTAGAGCTCTATAAATAAGCTTCATAGCAGTAAACTAAAGGAAAAGAAAAAGAAAGGAGGAAACTCTGTAAAAAAAAAAAGACTAAAAAAGGAGGAACTCTGTCGGAACAAAAACAAAAAAAAAAAAAAACTCCACCAAATAGAAAAAAAGCAAAAAAAAAAATGAAACAAAAAAAAACCATAGTTCCTCTGGTGAGGGAACCCAGCATTGGATTAAAAAAATCAACAAAAAAAAGTTTTTTTTTCTTTGTCCAGAAGCTTTAAAAGGCAATCTACAAGGTTTGGAGTTGTTTTAGACAAAATGGAGGCTAGATTTGTAATGGGGAGAGCATAAGGATCACTTTGGTTCTTTTTTATTTTTATTTTTGGCCATCAACGGCAATCGATGAAGGTCAACAGGGCAGACGGTGACTGACTTCTAGGATACTGGCTGAACCTGGGTTTTTGGTTTAGAGAGAGTTTTTGGAGTTTTTTTTTTTTTTTTAAAAAGGAAAAATGGATTGAAATTTTTTTTTGGCTTTTATATAGGCAAACATGCGTCAAAACGATATCGTTTGAAACCTCCAGGAATTTGCACGTTGATTTATGACTAGACTCGGGGTTTACACACTTGACTCGATGATCTGGCACCCATCAGCCTCCAACCCAGTTTGGTCCAGCTGAAATGGCCTAGATCGACGTTGACGACCCAATTTAGGTAAATTGTTTTTTGAAATTTTGATGTTTTTTACATACTATTTTTGTTATTTTAAAGTTTTATTATAATTGATGTTTATGCATGTTAAAATTTTTGAATTTATTAAGATAAATATTTTTTATAATAATAATTAATACAAAATGAGAACAAAAAAAAAGATAAATAAAAATAAATAACGAAAAATATAGTTAAATTTTTTTATAATTTTATTAAAATTTAAGATCAACTTTATAAAATAATATAATAAAATAACTAATGATTATAATACTAACAATACTAAAAAAATGATGATTTTTAAACTTTGATTTTTTTTAAGTTTAAAAAAAGGAAAAATAACTAAAAAATAATTTAAAAAATGTAAGAATGAAAAATTTTCTCCGAAGATGAGATTTTAAGGTATTTCAAGTAATGATGCCCACAAAATCTCTAAGTGAGAAGATTTTTTTTAAATACTACTAACGTATTGGAGTATTTATAAAAAGTTTTCAATACAATAAAAATTTTTCTTTTTTGCTACAAAATAACATAAAAATTAACTAAAATTATTAATAAAAAATAATAAAAAAGAGGGAAAGAGAAATTTTATCTGATAACAAGATTCTAAAGTACTCCGAGTAATGATGTTTTATGAAATCTTTAGGTGAAAATTTTTTAAATACTACCAATGTATTGAAGTATTTATAAAAAATTTTTCAATATGATAAAATTTTTTTATTTCTTCGAAACAATAACAATAAAAATAAAAAACTAATATTAAAAAAAATCAAAATAAAATATGTGCATCAATTTATTATCATTTGCATTGCATGTATGACGAGTTTTTTTGAAAAATAAATCTGAGCTTTTGAAGATAAGATTCTAAGATATTTCAAGAAGCGATGCCTAAGAAATCTCTAGGTAAGAAAGAGTTCTTTTAATGTTACTAATGTACTAGAATATTTTAAAAATTATTTCAATAAAAGGGTTCTAATTTATTTTTTTCGAATAAAATGAAACAATAATAAACAGATAATAAAAAAAGCTAAAATTTGATAAATAAAAAAGTCAAGAAATCCTTTTTAAGCACCGAAGCTAAAACTGTTTTTGTCAAAAATAACAGATAACACGTATTTAATTAGTATCGTTTTTAACGGGTGCTATGGGGGTATTAATCATTTCCTGTACGTAACCAACTCTCGGATACAAAATGTTTCGTAGACCCTAAAATTATTTTTTTAATAAATTTTAATTAATTTTAAAATTTTATTAAAAGAATATGTTTTAATTTGTGACCAATCACACCTAGTCAAAAAAGATTTGTGGCAACTCTGTTTTTTATTTTTTTGTTCATTTCCAAATTCATCAGGCAATTCAAAAACCGTTACGACAATTGGTCAAAATCGATTAAAATGGTTAGAACTGAAGTCAACTTTCATAATTTGCAACCAAATTAGGATCAATGTGATTTTAAATTGAGAATTGTTGTTTTAAAGCATTAAAATGTTTGATCACACTTAAAAAAGTGTTAAATTATTGAAATGCCCTTAGGAATATTTTTGTAATTTGACTTTCTCGAAGTTGAATTTTCGTGAAAACCTCCATATCATAATTGAATATTTTTTAATGATTTTTGGTGCACTAAAAGCCCATGTAACACTTTGGGAGGTATGAAATTATAAAAATACCCTTAAAGGTATTTTAATAATTTGACATTTCTAAGATCGAAGTTTTACGAAAAGCTTTAAATCATGATTTAATATTATTTGATAATTTTTAAAATTTTAAAAACTTTGATGATACCTCGGAAGGTGTGAAATTATAAAATACCTTTTATTGCTAATTTCGTGAAAAAATACCCTTAAAGGTATTTTAATAATTTGACCTTCCCAAAATCAAAATTTTGCAAAAAGTTTTAGATCATGATTTAATATTATTTGATGGTTTTCGAAATATTGAAAATGTTGATCATACCTCGAAAGGTGTGAAATCACAAAATACATTTTGTTACTGATCGTTCCAAGAATCTTTACTTCCAGTTACTGATTTGATGGGGTTTGTTAGTCATGTTTTTGAACATGCCCTTGTTGTTGTTAATGAAAAAAATGGATATCCATCTTGTACGTTATTGCATTTTACTATTGATGTTAATAGGGAATTATAGACAATTGGAGTTAAAACATCAAAGTCTATTGTTTTAAAAGATTCAATTGCATATATATCAAAGAAAAGGAAGTTTGCATTGCAATTGGATGGTTTTGCAAGTTATTCTACATGTGCTAAGGATTCTACCTTCACTGTGATAGAATCTGCTACTAATGTTAGTTTATTTGTTGATCTTTTTATATATCTTTTTCATTTTTTGT